ACATTTGCATACGTTTTCCCATTAAGATTGTGTTGCAGCGAACAAAAAAGATGGTAATCTGATGGTGCCATATCTGGAGAATATGGTGGGTGTGGGAGAACGTGCATTATCGTGGAGAAAAAGAACACCTTTCCGATTGACAAGTGAAGGGCGTTTCTGATGAAGAGCTCGATCTAAATGTTCCAGTTGCTGACTATAGAACTCTGCATTGACAGTTCACTGTGGATTGAGGAGTTCGAAATGAATTACTCCTTTGATGGAGTCCAGGTTTTGGGGTCGGAAGTGGTTCTTGTCTAGGACTGAGCCATTGTTTTTGGAGTTTAATATTAGCATAGAGAACCCATTTTTCATCACCGGTGATAATTCTGTCGAAAAATGGTTCACGCACCAAAAGCGACGAAGCAACGTTCACACATTCGAAACGATGATCATCGGAGAGTTCGTGATGCACCCAAACACCTTCTTTATGGAGTTTTCCCATATTCCTTAGATGTTTACGTATTGTTTCATGAGAGACATGCAATTTCCGGGCCATTTCACGGGTGTGTTGCCTTGGGTTAGACTCAACAAGCGTTTTCAGAGCATCAATATCAATTCCAACTTGTTGGCCCCTATCATCACAGTTTTTAAGGCCAAAGTCACCTGAACGAAATTCGCTGAACCATCGTTGATACTTACGAACGTTCAAAGCATTTCCATAAACTTCTCTGATATTTGTTTGGGGCTACAGAGGCGTTGTTTCCCTTCTTGTATTCAAACATCATTACATGTCGAATTTGTATCTCGCCGTGTATCATTATAAGGGATTAGAGTATACTAAACTTTACACATTACATATGCTACACTGATGTGACGTTTAGGCGGTTCGTTTAACTATTATACGTGATATACGATTTTTGGGGGGTGGTTAATGAAAGTGTTCCAATACGCGACATTAATTTCTTGACAACCTAATATACGTACGTGTTTCAGTTAAAACATATATATTAATAAATCTTGTATGAAAATTTCACATTCTGAGAAAAATTTTAAGACAACGAGGTTGTTCAAACAGAAATTGAAGGTATTAGAGATTCAGACTTAAATCTTTATTCAATTTTACCAAGATTATCTTCAGTATTTATAAAAAATTATGATAATTTAATGAAACTTCTGTTTTCATCTATCCATTAAGATAGCAAATTTATTTTTGTGATGTCGGTTATCATAGTCTGTATATAATTCGAAAGCATGCAATGTAATCATGAATTGTAACTACTTTTAAATTTCATTTTCGATGTTTTTTTCAATTATTCGCAAAATTTAGCATTGGCTCCTGCATGGCTGAAAATCGGCTAAATCTTTACCCTGTGCATGACATTGACTGATTTTGGTAATTAGTTTTAGAGTTGCTACAGTAATCGCCTAACTAATCGGGGACAAAAACAACATACACAGAAACAGATTATTTCACATAAACAACGTATTCTTGGACAATTTTATGAAAAGTGAATCGATGCATTTCATTTTAATTTTTCACTCTAGGTTAGGGCAAGTCAGTGCATTGTTCGACTTAACAACATATCTAGAACTGTTGAAAACAACATCTGCGATGATGCAGGACTTGATCCTCCATTGACAATCCAGAAGTGCGGGCTGGACAAATGTCCACACTGGGAAACTGGACAGTGGTCAGAGGTAGAGGAGGAAAGCTTCTTCAGTGGGGAAACTACAACTCAAATCTGTGGCAAGGCAGAGGTTAAGATGTATATTTTGGGAGAATGCACGGAAATCTGAATACCTATAAAACTTTCTGTCTCATAGCTATCGATCTTAAAACTGTCTCTGCTGTAATAGCGTTCCCTTTCTACATCCAGAGCTTTGCTTATGAATGGACATATTCTGTCATTTAAGCTATAATATGATTAGTATAAATTTTATAATTAAAAAGTGAATCTTCAGGTTGAAATAATAACTTAATTATTTTTGTCTGCGTATTTATAATTTCGAAACAAAGTTACTAAATATTAAAAAAAAAATTAAAAATATTGAGTTTATGCTATTTTGCTCATATTTCCGCGTTTACCAATTTATACCAACTTACTAATCCCATAAAAACCATAGCAACTTCTACACTACCTTTCTGACCTTTTTTTTTTCAAATGAAGTAGACCTTAATGCAGAAATTACGTCCTTACACATCATTGATACACTTGTTTCTGCCTTTGCCTTCTTGAATTTTAAGTTAGATTAGTTACTTTATAGACATTGAGTTATTTAATAATTGATAAACAATACAGAAAAGTTGTTTTTGTAATGTTAACCTTGTGACATTTCTAAATTTATTCTACAAACTCCTGTCTTCCATATATATAGGGAGAGAGTAAAATTTCTTTATCGAATAATTTATGGTATGTTTCTTTCCTGTAATATTAACTTGTTATAATTCAGTGCTCAGAAAACACCTGTTTTGAACGGAATACTGCTTATCAAGAAAGGAAGCTTCATTGTCGACTTCTTAATGGTACCGAAGTTGATGTTCATCATTGTAAAGACAAGACAAGACCGAGGCGTAGGAGAGAGTGTTATAATGATCAGTGTAAAGGTGTTTGGAAAGTTGGAGAGTGGTCTGAGGTAAACCATAATAAAAACACTTATGCGAAAATAGATACTTTTCTTGATGTTTGTTTTATTATTAAGCATAAAGCTGCACAATGGACTATTTACGCTGTACTCACCGCAAACACTGAATTGCGAGTTTTAGTATTATAAGCTCTCAAGCTTACCGTTGAGTCCCTGAGGGTGAGGGAGTATTTAATCTTGAAAGTAAAATTATTTATATATTCCAAAATAAACTTGTAAAAATATACTTTTCTAAATTGTAAAAAACAAAAAGTATATCTTTTAATAAAACTCTGTGTGATTAAATTTTTTTTTCATTCTAAGAATTCTCCAATCTCAAAATAGAAATAATGTTTATAGAATTGCACACCGAGATATTTTATTTCGGCTTCAATAATACTATTTTATTTAAGTTCTAAAAAGAAGATAAACCTTTTAAAAGGTTAAAGTTGAATTTGCATTATATTCCAAAATATTTCTGCACGCTAACATTTCTCTAAGTAGAAGTAGAATTTGCATTTATGGCAAATTTACTAAGGCTATCTGCTTCCATCCATAACGACCCCCATCATGCGGACTTACAACGCTAGAAACCGGGTTTCGATACCCGTGGTGGGCAGAGCACAGATAGCCCATTGTGCAGCTTTGTGCTTAATTACAAACAAAAAAATTAAAGGGTTTTTTTTGTTACTTTAGGAGAGACTTTTTTTTAAAAAAGTCTAAAACAAGTATTCTGATAACTACAAAATAAAATAATTTTAATTAATAGACTTTGATCATATTGAAGTCAAGCTCATGTAATAATATAGTTCACCTATATTTTGTTTGAAGTATAGATGGAATTCATTGTCAATATTGCATGTTTTAAGTTTATTTAATTTGGGTATAACTTAGTGAAAATCTCATTTCATTCTTGCCATTTGGTAAAATTAAGTAATATTTGTTTGATACATCACCTACAAAAGAATTCAAACAGGTGGATAAAGTCTGATGAAACTTACAAGGTGTCCCTGAAAAACACGTTATTACACTGAGAAACATTTCATATTATAATAAAATATACTCATATTGGATACGTCTAGTTTAAAACTATGCAATGTGAATCATCATATACAAGTCACACAGCATATGATTTATGTATGGTTGATTAGTTTTTGGAATTAGAATATTCGCTGCTTACAACAGACATTTATTTGGTTTTGGTTTCCTTTGCAGTGTACAGTAACTTGCGGAGACGACGGTTTTAGAACTCGAATACTTCAGTGTGTTTGGTTTGGTACAAAAGAAGCTGCTGGAGATGCTTGTCGTGAACAGCCCCGCCCTTCTGTGATACAGAAGTGTACAAGACCTCCTTGTACTTTAGGTAAAATCACTTAGAGTTGCCTAAGCCTCTTTTCAAAAAGGTCTTTCCACCTAGTATTATATTTTGACATAGATTAAGTATGAAAAACTTTTATTTTGATTAATATAAGATTTTATTTCCCGGAGCCAAAATTTGTTTTTACCTGATTGCACAATAGAATTATCTGTTAAATCAAAATAGCAATATCTAAGAAGGTGAAAACATCCTCGACACTTCACCAGAAACCTCTACTTATTTCAGTGTGAAAGCGTGTAATCCAAAGACAACATTTTGTATCGTAACGTATAAAACTCTGTTCGCTATTTTGAGACATTACAATAATTACTACGGCAAAATTCGAATAAAATTATCATGTAATCTTAAGTCGAATAATATTCAAACTGCTTTATATTGTACACATTTTGCAGGTGTCCGGTGTACAGACTTATCAGAGTATTGCAGACTTGCAAAGATTTTAAACATATGCAAAATTTTCCACTATCGTCAACAGTGTTGCAAAACGTGTTCAAGAAGGTAAGATGTTAAATTTAGAACACCAACTGAGGCATCTGGACAAAAAGAACATATTACGGGTGTTATAACGCGCTATGTAGCATCAGACGTTACCTAAAATGATGTTTATTTCATTTTGGTGTCAGTTCTCTACGAATATCGAGATTAAAAAAAAACATTCTGTCATTTTTGATTTTATATAATAATGTGCTGCCTTTAAGAATTTTCGTTTAAGTTAACTTTAAATCTCATTACATGTACCATGAGTAAAACCATTAGTTACTCTGTTAGATCAAGTTGTATTCAATGTGTATAATGTGTTTTCTTTACTCTATGAATTTTCTCCAGTGTCATATATAGATTATTTATCTTATATCTAAGCACAGATGGCACTGTTAATCTACCCTTTCATAGTGAAAGTGGATTTCAACAAAGAATTGCGCTTATTGGCTTTATTCACAGCCTATGGATTTCAGACGAGCTTTACAATTTATTCGTGGAAATATGTATATAGATAAAAATAGAATAGCTGTTCTAAAAAAAAAAACAAGAAAAATAATATTTAAGCTTGTAAGTATCCAGATAAAGCAGTTGAAATACAAAAATGTGTAAACTGCTCCAAATTGTGAAAGGTAATGAAATAAACGGAACTGTACGTGTTAGTAAACGTGTAGAAAGTATCTTTAATTTTCAGCTTTTTATGTTTAAAATCATGACTTAAAACGATCAAGATAAAAAGTATAGGTGAAACTGAAAGTTTCGTCGTATCCATAATATAAAACTATTATAAAATTACTGTTATCATGTAGATTCTAAAGAAGAAAGTATAATCAACTAAACTGAGTATGTGTTTCCTGACGGAGAATAAAAAACCTTTTACTATCAAAGTCAGCTATCACACACACACATATCTAAATATTTCCTTTAAAAGCTATTTGATAAACCATAATTAAAAAAAACAAAAAGACAGCGATTAGGAATACAAAACTTCAAAATATTTACATTAGGAATTGAAACTGTTAGTGTTGGCCTTTTATTAGATTTGTCTCACTTCAATGCTAATGGAATAATTGTAGGAAAACATACTTAGGACGTTGAAGTAATTCATACTTTCTCATTATAATGAAAATGTCTAGCGATTATTACATACATGTATGACATGTTTCATTTACGCTGGTGATTATTGATTTGAAGGGACGTGTTTGTGAATAAAGCACATAAACATATTTATTTAACTGTCTAGTTGTATCATATGTAATTATTGTAATATTAAGTTTGTTTGCCAAATTTTTGATGTTTTGGAATTAAAGTGGTAAATAACTGAATTTCTAGTAAATCCGTGAAATCCTATTTTTAAATAAGTTTAGACATAAACGCTCTAGTAACAATGATAAACGCTTGGAACATTTGCCTGCAGATGATGAAAATAGTAGTTGAATTTTGTGTTATTAAGCTTGAGTTCTTCTTTGTAAGTGGATTACTTTGTTAGTTTAACTTGGAGTATTTTGAACACAAAAAAAAAACAATATCGGTTATTTACAATGCCATTTTTCGGAAGAATCGTATTGAACAGATACGAAAAAATTACTTCTTATAAATAGTGTAATGTTAAGTACATTTTTCTAAACTGTGGTATTCTATGAGTGCCCGTATGTCAAAAAGCGCATGCCTCCCAATGGCACAGCGGTAAGTCTGAAGGCTTATAATTCTAAAAACCGGGTTTCGATACTCGTGGGGGCCACAGCTTTATGATTAACAAGAAAAAAAAACAAACAGAAAACACGTGATTTCCATTACTATTTCTGAACCCTGCCACCAGACAAGTGATGAATGTATCAGTGAGACTTATAATACTTTGTGTATTCATATCTCAGGCTACCTCTAGATATACTTTGACCTACATTACTGTTTCTGTACCCTGCCACCAGTCACGTGATGAATGTATCAGTGAGACTTATAATACTTTGTGTATTCATATCTCAGGCTACCTCTAGATATACTTTTGTGTCTTTCTTGCACTACAATTACTTATGTGAGTCCATAAAGCTCTAACAATTCTGCGCTAAAAATTTCGTTTCAGAATAGAGTTGTATCAATTACATAATGCAGAAAGATGATTCACAACGATATTTTTAAAAGAAAATGGTTGCCTAGCTCAGACTCAGTTCAGTTTAAGCACAACTATAAGCAGATGAGTTTTAAACAATTTAGAAGATGGAGTGGCTGATTTTTCATATTCAGAGTGTAAAAACGATTGATTTGTGTTGGAATTCCGAAAGAAACACGATTTGTTTTTAATCATTGTTTTAAATAGGTCGTGATATTCTTAATATGCATTTTTTTTTAGATTGTAAGACTACAAAGACTAGGGTTAGGCTTAGAAAATGCAAAAACTTAGTTACAAACTTTCTGGGATAAATCTTATAAATAAGCTGATTTCTTGACATTAAGTTTTACAATAAACTGTGTTTTAAAATTATTTCCAATGTTTATGTAGAATTTACAGTTTTAATTATAATTTGAAATCCAACACCAGTGTAAAAAAAATTTTGCATATCAAAGATAGCGTGCAAATAAGTAAAAAAAAACCCACAAATTTCGTGAAATAAGTATTATTATTAATAACTGTTTTCAAACTAACTAAACTCCTCTGAAGTGAGCATCTTGGAAAGGGCTGTATACTGAAAAAAGTGCCTTTTGCATAAAAAAAACAGATTGTTAATGATAATTTTTGTCTACTTCAACTGTTTTTCAAACGAGTTTTTATTGATTTGTTTTTTAAGTGAATAGCGAAATGTGTTGCTAAGCGATAAATAAGATGCCAAGTAAATGTTTCAAATGTAAAAGCATGAGAGTAACAATTCACATAATAACGTGTTTGTGAGTGGAAACAATCTTTCTCACATAGCAATTGTGATTCGTATCGTTAAAATGATACAGGTTATACGGATTCTGCTTACCACTGATGTTTGAAGTGGATAAGAACTATACCGTGTATCAACACTATGCATTTAAGCATTTCACCAGAAATAAATAATATTTCGATAACATTGAAACTTGAACTTGATATATTGTTTGCATTAAACATAGTTCGATAAGAATAATGGAGTTTTAAATAATGATGCAGTTGTATCTTACTATAAGGTTTTCAACATTTGCGCATAAAGGAAAAGGTTTGGCTTGAAAAGAAAACATCCTCAACGTATTTTACAACTTTGATAATAGAGCAACAATTAAACCATGCCATTTCAAAGTATACACTCTTTGGCAAATGACTAATTTATCAAAACTTTGTTGAAACGATCATCTTTCTAGTTTTTCTTCTATGTTTAGGACTTACGTTTCTTCGCCTTCGATTATATACGCTGTAATATTAAAATTGTTTGTTCATTTTGGATAACAAGTCGCATACAAGCCTAGCAATTTCAAGATATGTCATCTAGCTCTCATCAGCCGTGGTATATCGGTGATAGAAACTGTTATCCAATGAAACTTTATATGTATTTACGTAAGAGGAAAAAGTGTGCGTTGAAATAGAATTTAAAACTAATTTTTTCACAATATCTAAAGTCTCACAAAGTTCTTTCAGATAGCAACCCTGTTTGGCTAATCGGAGCTGATTTAGTAAGTCTTATTAAATCAGTATATGGGAATTTATGTTCCAATATGAGCAAATTTGTTTCATTTTACACATTTGTAAGTTAGATAATGGCATCATTGTTTTCAACTACAGGACTGACTCGGACAAACAAACTCGAAACGTTATGTGGTTAATTTCGTACTTCTCAATCTGAAATGTTCTTAAGATAAACGTCTTATTGTTTCAGTAATTTGTGTTATAACTATGGCTATCCAAGGACATACTTGTAACATACATTAGGCTAATCACAAGCAACACTTTACCACACACTTGTAACATACATTCGGCTAGTCACAAGCATACACAAGTAACACATCACGACACGTAAGGTAATATAACAAGTTCATCGTGTTGTAACAGACATATTTCGGTTTTAATGTAACTACGTTTAAGTTAGTCTTACAATATCTGTAATGTGCAAAAAATGATAAATAATAAAAGAAAGTAAATTAAAAAATACGCCATAAAAGAAATAGCAGCTTTTTTTTTCATTTCAAACTATTCAAAATAGAGGTGTTTGCTCTAGATATTGTTTTAGCATAGTATCAGTTTTCATTTTTCTGGTGTGTATTTTATTTTAAAAATTGTATTACTTTTAACCAAATTTTGGGTATTATCTTTCCATCGAAACAAACATATAAATATGTTTAAACAAAATAATTGATTCTCAGTAGGTCTGAGGTATATTATTGGTCAATTGAAGCTATAATTTCCGTTGATTCAATGGTAAATGTGATTGCTTACTTTTAGTCTATTTAGTGTTAAAAAACGTTGAATATTCTGTTTGGACTTAGGTGCTTTAGTATTTTTATTTTTCAAAAGTGGTGTTAATATGAACAATGATTTTTAATGCCAAAATGAAATATTT